TGTTATAGCAAAATATAATGGATGTGCAGCAAATTCAAAGTTGATGCGCAGAGTTTAGAATGAACAGAAGACTAATACAGAGGCGGCGGCACGACCTTACAGGATCATGCTCCTCCTTAAAAAATGGGAATTTGAACCCCCGGAACGCTATTTCCTGCATTTTGAGGAACTCATTTTGCTGACAGAAAGAGTTTCAGCTTGATTTTGGAGGCGCGACTCCCCCCCCCCCCCCATTTTTTCGAGGGGCGATCGCCTCCTCTGCCCCTGTGCCACCGCCACTGTGATGACCAGAAATTAGATTGAACTGTAAAAATCTCAATTTCACTTCTAATTTGGCACAAGTCACGTATGCCGGGAATCAAAGTGACGTAATCGATGACGTACGCTTATGTTTTCAAGGCATTATGTTTTGCGCATCTACCACTTTAACTTAAATATTGCCATCTCCGACAACTTCGGATCCATGACTACTCGTCATATAATAGTCATATGTAGTATGACCCGTTGGTCCTACACATTATTGGTTTTGTAATTCTTGATTATTGTTAATGATGCAGTATAGTTTTCATGCTTTTTATAATGTTAATGGTTCATTGGGAGTCGTATAAAATCAATATATAACCCAGAGTTTGTCTATGCACCAACGTTTATCCCAATAAACATGCACTTTTTTTAACCGTTATTATACCGTCAGTCATATCTTCTTGGATAAATCGCGATTTTGCTGGTAACCGTTAAGGGGGTTATTAGACCAGCACTGTAATAAATCACACATGATGAACTATTATTCGAACAACAATTTAAAAATACGTTGTCATATGCTTTATTATCGAGGCCACACAATTTTTAGATGATCTGCAGTATTTCACCGTACGCATCTTTTTTTACTAAATATATGTGTTTGTAGAATTATTTTAATTGTTATTCTAGAACCAATGGGTCGTATGACCACAGGGTCGTATAACCAATTGTTTCTATGACCACATGTGCAACCATAGATCACCGTGACTATCACATGATATAATGATTAACGTTGATACAAGTAAATACAAGGAGATACTAAACTGTTGCTATAACTAATGTAATTGCTATACATTATCCAGAAAAAACATGAAACTTTTCCCGTGTTGGAGGGGATGTGACGTAATAATAACATCTGATTCAAAGAAAGCATTTCACATAAAAGTTTGAACATTCAAGTATGGTCGACTCAGTATGTTAAAATAAAGATAAACTTGACTGTTTGCATATTGCATGCGGCTCGTTCATTTGAGTAGTTCACTACGGACGGAGATTTGATTTTTTTTTAGTTAAGTAAAGTTAATTTGAAACTACTCCAAGTGATCTATATCAAACTACAATAAACAATACTAAGTAAAACACGACGTCAGATTGTGACAATACACAGTCCCTGTTATTACCGGTAGTCGACCTCCTACGTCTATCAAACGGTTACATTATCTCAATTTCAATGCAGTATGGCAAATTGTAGTAATCACACATACAGACAGAGAAACTAGGATATAATAAAAAAACAAATGGTTGCCAGTCATTTTCGTCATCGCCGAGAAACGGCTGCGATTTATGATTTTCGACAAAATGAAACAAATTCGACAGATTTGATTAAATAATAAAATAACACAACCTACAGTATTACTTTTGATTATAGCACTTGTGTGCATACTGCTTACTGTGCCAGGCGTTATGATTTAACTGTGGTGTATCGGCATAGATATGAATGAAAACAAAATGGCTGTTAGTCAGCCTTGTTTGTCTAAATCTAAAAACATTATGACGTGCACATACGTAACCAAATACTATTTGCATGGTGATGATACAAAATCTAAATGAAGTCGTACTGGTCAGCTCCGACATTGCTGTAATTTCGACAATTTTGATCAACACAATCTAGGTACTATGAGTATACTACTTGAGTGCACATTTTTATATATTAGTGGCTGCGATTTTAGGATTTTAGTCAAAATGGCTGTCAGTTCAATAAATTAGTACTACAGTACTTAATATATGCAAACTTTCAGTATGCGATGCATTAGGAATGGAAATGAATACAAACAAAATGGCTGCTAATCGGTCATTTTTGTTTGAATCTCGTGCATCTGCAACCCAATATGCATGAGCAAAATACAAAGTTTGAAATTGGCCTGTTTATCTCCAAGAAAAGTTTCCGAAAACGTTTAAATATAAGAATTTAACAAATTTGAGGAACAAAATGACCACCAGTCAGTCATATTTTGATCAAATGACAATCATCATGCATATGTAAATCATCATGGTCGTTTTGTGGTTACGACTCGGTGACGTAATTCTTACACGACTTGTGTATTATGTGTAATGCTAGAGTACAAGAGAATATTGTGTTATTTCTTTATATATTGGTCATGTCAGGGCCGTAGATAATTGGGATATATACGACGTCTTTGTGTTCGCTTTAATGAATATGTCCTTGTTAGCTTTCAGTCATGTGACCCGGTCTTTCTGTAACTGCTAGTCCAACAACTGCCTAATCAGAATCCCATTATTACGATATACCAACGTAATCTGTCGTTTTTGTGAAAATCTACGCTGCTCATACAAAACAGCGTAGTGATCGATAATCAGTCAAATTGTGGGCTTAAACATTCCATATTTAGTCAATATACTTTTGCTATTGTTAGATTGCTTTTGACAATTGTGAATAAAAATAGGTTAATGGCTGTGTTTAGTATATATGATTTAGAGCACCTCATTTTAAAATAAAAACGGGCATGTCGACGTTACATTGTATAATAATTAAACACCTACTTGAAACATTCCAAAGTATGAAGATAAATTGAAAAAAAAAAAACGTATTGCGGAATATTAAAATAAAACTAATGTTATTATATTTCAGCAATTTTGACCTTTGCTGGAAAGGATGATATATTGAAAAGCGTTCTCACCTAATATTGCGTTGCTGTCCCTGTGGACACTTAGTGGGCACGAGACAGGAAGTAATATATTTTCAATTAAGACGTTGTGTGATATTCGAATTATTGTCACTTGTTATTATAACAGTACGTGTGTTGTACACGTTATTCTGAAAGATACAAGTGTCTGCAAATAAATATGTGTGTGTGTTCAATGTGCCGTGTAAGCGTTAATTTCTGGCGCATGCGTACGAGTAATTTGGCGTCGGTACGCTTAAGATGTTGGGACACTATTTGTTAGCCTGTGTATGTTTCGGTGCATGTGCTTGATTTAACTTCAGCGTTCGATATAGAACAATGCTTTTCTAAGCAGCAAGTTGTAGAACTTTCTGTAAAGTAGTGTTGATAGCCAATATGATGTGAAGAAATTCCTATTATTACGAGTACATTAATAAAAGACAAGCCTTACCTTCTATTGCAATCTGATCCACGCCTGATTCCACGTAAGACTCTTTGCTAACGTTCTCAACCACAACTACAACTGTCCACTTCGCTCTCGTTTCTCGACATTAAGAAGTTTCCGCAACTAAATTACTCCCACGTGATCATCTATCTACCAATTACGCTTCATCAACTATAACTAAAATATCTGGCGCTGCTTATTGGCTGATGGGAAGGGAGCGTCATTTATTCAAATTTCAGGACATATACTAGTAGTGTCCTTAGTTCCGATCGCTGCTAATCACTATGAAAAATCGGTGAAAAAA